GTCATCCAATTGTCCGACGCAACAGCCATTTTCCACTCCACAACAAACCACCATCTTACCTTCCCACCTCACCTCCGGTGGGAAGCCCTAACCTCCCGCCCCACACTAACTCACCTTTCCACATGAGGCACAACACTTCCCCCCCATAACCGCTTCAAACCCCATAGGAAAATTCTCACCCTGACAGCCACTTCACACTTGCTAGCAATTTTCATTGATCCCTGCCCACACAGCCTCAGGTTCCAAGAAGAACCTGGTTCTCCCTCTAGCAACTGCTTCACACATCACATGGAACCCGAATCCTCCCTCACCATAAACCTGACCTTCTAGAGTAAATCCAACCCTCCCACCACAGAGCCCCTCTCACTCCTCTAAAGCAATCTCCAATGCCCCACCCTATAACCAGTTCACACTCCACAGCAAAGCCCTCCCACCTCCACCACACTTCACACTGCATGGACGGCACCAGTGCTTCCCTCACAACCACCCGCTTCACACCCACAGAAAGCTTCTGTCATCGCTACATGAAACCCGTTTATATTTGAAATCAAGTACTGATCATTCTTCTCAACAACACTTTGCACTCCATGATACACCCCAATTCGGCCCTCAAATACCTTAGACTCACAGGACAGCTGCTCTGCTTTTACCTTCACATGAATCACCCATCTTTCCACTCTACAAATGCTGCACCCTCCACAGGAAACCTCGAACCTCCTCCCCAACACTGCTTCACACCTCACAATAGACTGCAGCCCCCCTACCCTCATATCCCCTTCTGACTCCGCAGGAGCCCCAAACCCCTTCCTCAAGGCCAATTCACACTCCCCAGTAAGCTTCAATCTTTCCTCTCCCAAATGCTTCACGCTCCACAGTAAACGCCAATCCTCCCCTCTCCCAGCCCTTTTGTAGTTCACATGAATCCCGAATCCTTCCTCTCTACAAACAATTCACATTCCCAGGTAAACCCCAGTCCACTCATCTTCATTATCCCTTTCTCATTCCAGAGCAAATCCTCATTCTGTAAGCTAACATCCACTTTTAACCCCTTTAGTTATTTTCAGTTCTTCCACCCCCACAAACCACTCCACAATAAACCCCTATCCATGCTCCCTAAATGACTACACTCCACAGCAAATCCTAATCCTCTCCTGCCCACAGCCTAATTACATGCCAGAGTAACACTGTCCTCAAGACACATCCTTCACACGTGGTGATAAACTCCAGTCCTCCCAGCCAACAGCCACTTCTTACTCGTTAATAATCATCAGCAATCTCCCCTACAACCACTTCACACAGTCATTCCCAATGCTCCCTCCCCAAAAACATCTCATTCCACACTAAAGCCTTGTTCTCTCTCCACATAATCACTTCACACTCCACAAGAAGCCCCATTCCTCCAATCGCCCTAAATTCTCCAAAGGATTTTGGTAATTGAAAAAATATTTTATAATCAAATCCTGGAGAGATGTTAATACAAATTAAGTCTACCATCCCAAGGGTCTGTTCTAAGGATTTACTGTGAAAGAAGTGTCCCCTTTTCTGCATAAGAATATGCTTTGTCACGCTATTTCATACTGCTGAAAACTGGATGAATATAAGTGTGCAGGTAAAAATAACATCTAAATAATGTCTATAGCTATAACAAATGTAGCACATAAACATAAACTGTTTTCATGTTATATTCAGAGAAGAAAATGAGGAATTTAGAAATGGTAGCTCTACACTGATTAAAGCTCAAATGTCATGTGTGTTTGCTGTCTCAGGGAGAAAGAGGACATAGGCAGATGGAAGTAGTATTTTTAGGAGGTGTTGAAATTATGAATGAGTTATACATGAATAGCGCCTTGGCCCTGCTTGTGTAATATGAAATAGACATTTCTAGGCTAGGCGTGGTGGTTTACACCTGTAATCCCAGGACTTTGGGAGGCTGAGGCAGGTGGTGGATTACCTGAGCTCAGGAGTTCGTGACCAGCCTGGGAAACAAGGTGAAACCCGTCTCTACTAAAATACAAAATACATAAATAAATAGATAGATAAATTAGCCAGGCATGATGGTGTGTTCCCATAATCCCAGCTACTCAGGAGGCTGAGGGAGGAGAATTGCTTGAATCCGGGAGGTGGAGGTTGCAGTGAGCCAAGATCATGCCATTGCACTCCAGCCTGAGCAACAGTGACAATCCTTCTCAAAAAGAAAAAAAAAAAAAAAGAAATAGACACTTCTGAGAAATGCAGTGGACTCCTTCAGTCCTCCTCTATTTAGAATCCTTTCCCTCACTGAGCACTTGGGAATACTAGATACATTACATAATAAGCCTCATCTTCCTGGATCTTCCCAGCAACCTTGGAAGGTAAGTCCCACTAGAGGCTTAGAAATGTTGAGTAAACTATATGACCCAAGTCTAATTTAAGTGGCTTTAAGGGTTTTGTCCCGAATGTATCCCTTTCACTTTGATCAGAGTTCGATGTTTTCATCTGAGATAGATGAAGGAGATGAAAGGCAATCGCCTGCCACTCTCTCTAGCCCTGAGTGGAATCAACCTGCCTTGCTTGGTCTGTGCATTTTCCTGTCTGTGTAGCCAGTGGTTTTGCCTGTCTTATTCACTGCTATAGTCTGAGGGCCTATCGCAGAAGGCATTCAAGAGATGTTTTAATAGCTGCATCTTTTTGCCTATGGAATGAAATCTCTCTCCTTACGAATACATCTTTCCAAACTCTGTCCTCTCTGCTTTGGCTACATGGTCAACAGTCTATTAAGTAGCTGGAAGACATAGAGAGGTGTTTGTAGATAAAGTAAAATATTAGCTGTGTAAGTATTTTGAAGACTCTGAAGTGCTCTTTAAAAATAGAAAGTAGGTTGGACATGGTGGCTCACACCTGTAATCCCAGCACTTTGAGAGGCCGAGGTGAGAGGATTGCTTGAGCCTAGGAGTTCAAGACCAGCCTTGGCAATACAGCGAGACTCCCATCTCTACAAAAAAGAAAGAAACAAAAAACACACAATGTTTTAAAGTTAGCCAGGCATGGTGGTGTGTGCCAATAGTCTCAGAACTCAGGAGGACTGCAGTGGGAGAAACACACAAAGCCCAAGAGCTTGAGGCCGCAATGAGCCGTGACTGTACCACTGCACTCCAGTCTGGGCAGCAGAGCAAGCAAGACCCTATCTCACAAAAAAAGAAAAGAATAACATAAGTCAGTCATGATCTTATTTTCTTCAGGCCAAATAAAAGCATGTGTAGAAAATCGAGTTCACGATCTCTCCAGAAGAATGTGTCTAATTTATTTAGCATCAACTTTGTGTTAGATTTCAGATGCTGTTTTATTTCACCTAATACCTTCAGGTGTAATTTGAACTGCACTGATATCCTTCAAGAAGAGTATCAGTAACTTTTTCAAGTAGTAAATGACTGAAGCCTATTTCAAACAGGTTTTGGGAAAAAGGGGAAACATAATGGCCAATGAAAGATATGCTGGATTCTAGTATATAAGGCTTTCAGAACCTGTCTCTCTGTCTCACTTTCTCTCTCACTCACTCACTTTCTCTCTCTCTCTCTCTGTGCAAGAAACAGAGTAAGAGTAAATTTAGTAAGGGCCACTGGTAAAGTTGAATAGGTTTACATCCTCTGTTCAAGGGTATAACCTATGCTAGAAAGACTTTTTTAAGTGGTAAAATAATTTTAACTTCTAAAATTTCAATTTTAATTTTCAAAATAAATTTCTAAAGAAACATTTTCTAATCATGTTGGTTACATGAGCCATTTGCAGTAGGAGCTTTGCAATATCTTAACATGTGTGATGTTCAACACTCAGGGCAGTCCTGACTAAGAGACCTCATTAATTACTGTTAACACACAGGATTTATTTTTCTAAATAACCCAATTTTAGTAGACCTTAAAGAACTCTCTTAATAGGTGGTATGAAAGCTTAAGTTCATGGAATGGAAATCATTTGCACGTAAGAAGCAAAAGGACAGCATGAATATCTGAACAAATGCACAGCCCATCACTCCTCATTCATATCACACTTTGATAACCAAAGCAAAGGTACCGTGGAGTTGGAGAAGCAACGTCATGAGCAATTCTCAATATTTTTAAAAGCCCAAGGAAATTATACATGACTTTGTTAATACTGGTTTTGTTTTGCTTTTGTTTGTTTGTTTGTTTGTTTTTTTTTTTTGAGACAGAGTCTCACTTTGTCAACTAGGTTGGAGTGCAGTGGTGTGACCCCCACTCCCTGCAGCCTCTGCCTTCGAGGTTCAAGTGATTCTCCTGCCTCAGCCTTCCAAGAAGCTGGCATTACAGGCCTGTGACACCACACTCAGCTAATTTTATTTTTTTTTAGTAGAGACAGGGTTTCACCATGTTGGCCAGGCTGGTCTTGAACTCCTGACCTCAAGTGATCCACCCACCTCGTCCTCCCAAAGTGCTGGGATTACAGGGGTAAACCACTATGCTTGGCTTAATTTGTTAATACTTTCCAAACTATCTAAAATGTTTAATAAACTGTGTTTCAAGTTAGAATTACTTTCTGATTCCTGTTGATTAGAAGTTTTTATTAGTGCCTTGTAAATCTTTGATCAATAAAAAACTGAGACAAGGCCGGGTACGGTGGCTCATGCCTGTAATCCCAGCACTTTGGGAGGCCGAGGCGGGTGGATCACGAGGTCAAGAGATCGAGACCATCCTGGTCAACATGGTGAAACCCCGTCTCTACTAAAAATACAGAAAATTAGCTGGGCATGGTGGTGCGTGCCTGTAATCCCAGCTACTCAGAAGGCTGAGGCAGGAGAATTGCCTGAACCCAGGAGGCGGAGGTTGCGGTGAGCCGAGATCATGCCACTGCACTCCAGCCTGGGTAACGAGAGCAAAACTCCTCTGTCTCAAAGAGAGAGAGAGAGAGGAGAGAGAGAGAGAGGAGAGAGAGGAGAGAGAGAGAGAGAGAGAGAGAGAGAGAGAGAATAAATTAAAGACCCTGAAAACTGCTATCATTTTTTGGATCAGATTCTTTCCAAACATTGGATCCTTGGGCAAAAGCAACAAAAGAGACATTCCTCGTACTAAAAAGGCCAGATACTAGCACTTCCGTCAGACTTCCTATTTTAACCACAAACCTGGAGAGATGGATTCCTTCTTCAAGCTCACAGGTGGGTGAGTCCAGTGCCCAGCCAGCCCATAAACACAGCAAGGGCAGGCTCCCTGTCTTCTTCATTGTTTATATTCGCTCAGGTCCTCTTTATTGAAGAGTGGTGAATTAACATCTTCTGATTTAGTCTATTGTCCCAAATAGCATTTTATTTCTAACTGTGCAATTGTTGATGCTTCTGTTTTCTTTGTGCTTTTTCCCCGGCAGCTTAACTAACATTGCCTACTGTGTTAGGATGAGTCATTTGCTGACTGTGCCTTCCTGCAGCCTCATAGGCAGAGCCCTGTCACCAAGCAGGGCTGCCCCAGTGGCTGGAATGGAAATGAAAGCAAAGCAAGTGTTATTTTCCTCATCCCGAAGCACGAGAGAACTGCCTCCGGCTTACCAATGTGAACATGGTTAAGAAGGAGTTTAGAAGTCCAGCACAGGCTTTACAGGTAGTGAGGCTGGCTGGAAGCAGGGTAGATTCAGTGTGATATGAGCTTATTAAGGCATCACAGAGGCAACTCCCAGTGTGGGTGGAGGAGAGCACCAGGGATAGAAAGGAAGAAGACTTTCTTCCAATTATCCTTTGGATAATTGGATGGGATGTTCCAAAGGATAATTGGAAGAGAAGGATGATGCCTGGAAGTGATAAGCCTCAGGTGTTTGGTTGCACCTTACTGGAAAGCCATGCAAATTAACGGAAACTTCCCGGCAAAATAGCTTGACTTGTAGCAACTTCACAACGATAAAAATCCAGAGGTGAGGTTTGCCCACATCCTGTTCATTTTAATCATGAAGGCAATTTCCCCTCTGGCCAGAGAGAAGCTCAAGAATGTGAATGAAAGCAAGAAAGATGGCACCAGTTAGGCACCATAAAGAGAGTCGTGGTTGGCATAAGTTGCTTCACAATGCCTTCATGTAGCACTCCAAGATTTCAATTCAAGCCAAGCCATCTCGTCAGGACATTCACCAGGAGCCCCAGAAGTGTCAAACTGTCATATTTACTAAGACCAAGTCAGCAAGCAGTGATGCAGGGTCACCCGTGTGCTCACCATGGTGCTTGGCATTCTTTTTGTTTGTTTGTTTGTTTGAGATGGAGTCAGTCTCTCTCTCTCTCTCTCTCTCTCTCTCTCTCTCTCTCTCTCTCTCTCTCTCTCTCTCTCTCCAGGCTGGAGTGCAGTGGTGCAATCTCGGCTCACTGCAACCTCTGCCTCCTGGGGTTCAAGCAATTCTCCGGCCTCAGTTTCCCTAGTAGCTGGGATTACAGGCATGTGCCATCACACCTGCCTAATTTTTGTATTCTTAGTAAAGACAGGGTTTCACCATGTTAGCCAGGCTGGTCTCAAACTCTTGACCTCATGATCCGCCTGCCTCAGCCTCCCAAAGTGCTGGGATTACAGGTGTGAGCCACCATGCCTAGCTGGTATTCTTATACTAATTCAGGAAGCATTCACTTTATTCAATAAATCCTGAGAGCCAGCGGTATACAGGAACTATACTGGATCCTTGCAGGTAAGATAAAGAGCAAAGCCTCAGGTTCTGTCCTCAAGATGCTCCTAGTTTGGGAGAGAGAGAGAGAGACATGTATGTAAAGAGAGTTGCACTACAGCATGATGGTTCCGCTTGTGAGCTCCTCACCTAGCCCCAGAGGATAAAGAGAGAAAAAGACTGCTTTAGGATTAAGCAGCAAGTGGGGAGGAGAAGGGAAGATAGGTGAGCAAAGTACAGTGGACCCTCCTTATCTCTGTGTTCCACATTCATGAATTCAAACAACCACAGTCAATATATTTGAGGGAAAAATCGTGGTTGCATTCATACTGAATATGCAGAGACTTCTTTCTCTTATCATTATTCTCTAAACAATACAGTATAACAAGTATTATCATAGCATTTACATTGCATTAGGTACTATAAATAACCAAGAGATGATTTGAAGTATACAGGAGGATGTGCATAGATTATATGCAGACATACACCATATCATATGAGGGACTTAAGTAAGTATTTTGGTACTCATGGGGGAGTTCCGACACCAATCCCCCACAGATACCGAGGGACCACTATACATACCCAGAGGAGAAACCCTACATGCAGGGTCTGTTCGGTGCAGCTGGCAGAAAGAAAAGAAGGAAGGAGTCAGGACCTTTAAACTTTCTATTTTGGTTGAAGGGCTTGGGACTGATGAGGACTAAAAATGTTTAAGAAAGTTGCGGTTTCCATAAGGAGATAAATGAGGTGATGATGATGATGATGATGATGATATGTGTGTGTGTGTGTGTGTGTGTGTGTGTGTGTGTGTGTGTGTAAGTAGTTAATAACACAAGCTTTGAATCCAGGCAACTCTGGGTATGACTCCCCATTCCTTTCCTTCCTGTGTAATCTTGAGCAAGTCATTGACATCTCTGAGCCACCATGTTTCATCTGTAAAATGGTTATAAAAATATCAAGCTTGGGCTGGGTGCAGTAGCTCATGCCTGTAATCTCAATGCTTTACAAAACTGAGGAGGGAGGACTGCTTGAGGTCAAGAGTTCAAGACCAGCCTAACACACGCGTGCACACACACACACACAAACACACACACACACATACACAGACAGAGAGAGAGAGAGATTAGTCTCAGAGATAGTGAGTGCTTGTCACAGGAGAACTGGAGTTATGGAGGAATTTCAAGGGTGGGCTTAGTGAAACAGAATAGATTTTAGGGTTTCTTTCAACTCTGATCTACTATAATTCTACTAAAACTCACCGAGCTTCAGGTTTCTCTCCTGTAAATGGAAATTATAGTAGTGCCTTCTACGTAGGGCAATGGTGTTTATTGCTACCTTCTGCGCAATTTTTTGGCAAATTTTAAGGGCCATAAATGGTGGCTATTATTATTGTTAAATGAGGAATTAGAGGCTTCAAGTAGTCGTTTATTGTGTGAAAGAGGCACATTAGGCTGGGAAATGACACCATGAGGCTACTTGCTGTACAATACACTAAGGCTCCAAGAGAATTAAACACATCATTGAGATCATGGCATGACTAGTCAGGGTATTTTCATGTGTGAGAAAAGAGTGAGATGAACCTTAAAGAATACTTAGGCAGAAAGGAGTAGATTAGGGGCTCCAGGCAGAGGCAATACAGACGCAAATGATAAAAGCTCCAGTGAGTGTGTTGCTACTTGCTGCATAAACTATCCATTTAATTCCCATAGTGACTGCACAGACTTGATATTCTTGTACCCATTTTACAGATAAAGAAACAGTGGCTCTGAAAATCAGTGACTTGCTCAAGGTTATGCAGTAAGCAGAAAAAGCGATGAGTCATATCTAGAGTTGCCCGAGTCCAAAGCTTATGTTTTTAGCTACTCAGATACCTTTCACCTGCATGAGGGTAGGAGGCATAGGTGAGCACAGCACATGTGGAAGATGAACTGGAAACTCCTCTGCCAGGAACAGCCACCCTGGCTGGGGCACACAGAAGATGCAAATGGGTGGGGTGAATTGCTTGAGCGCCTGCAATGTCAGATTGGAGTTCAGCAAGATTCTGTTAGAACAGGAAGCGCTGTTGAAGGCAGTGAGCAGGGCTGTGTGAAGTGGTTAGAGGCAGGATCTAAAACAGACTACACAGGTTCAAATCTCAGCTTTCCCACTCATCAGACGTGTGATGCTGCAGAGAGAAAGTATGGAGGGGAAAGGTTGAAGCAACCTGCACAGAACATACCCACCTTATGTTTATTTCTCTGTTCCTGAGAAGAAAGGGTCAGTAATCAATGAACCTCAGAGAATTAGTGTTAGGAAGTTAACCTTAGCATATACAAAACTTGCTATTTGGACAATCAGAGGCAACAGAGAGCAAAGAACTCTGATAAACTAGACTGACAAGCCCTTTACAAAGATTAGAAAAGAAGAGTGAGGAGAAACACTACCACCACCTTGATGATACACTTGGTAGCACAAATACAATATGAAACAACCCTGTGTGTTGTCTTAATTTTCAGTGATTTTCAGAGCACCACCCACATATTTCACATCAAAATTTAGGTTCAAACAGCTATAGAGTAGCTGCTGGGTGGTGGATTACACTGGCTCCAGAATAAAAGGGTGGGAATTTGCCACAGGGCTTCTACCATCAGCTAGTAATGATATGTCTCAAGGTACTGTACACCTCTTAGCTAGTTTCCTGGGTAAAATGGAGCAACAGTAACCAACTTATCCCTGGTTCAAAAGTTACATTAGGCTGGGTGCAGTGGCTCATGTTTGTAATCCCAGCACTTTGGGAGGTCAAGGGGGGTGGATCACGAGGTCAAGAGATCAAGATCATCCTGGCCAACATGGTGAAACACCACCTCTACTAAAAATACAAAAATTAGCTGGGCGTGGTGGCAGGTGCCTAGTCTCAGCTACTGGGAAGGCTGAGGCAGGAGAATTGCTTGAACCTCTGAGGCAGAGGTTGAGGTTGCAGTGAGCTGAGATCATGCCACTGTACTGCAGCCTGGGTGACAGAGCAAAACTCCATTTCAAAAACAAACAAACAAACAAAGTTACATTAAATAGAATATGGGAAGATGCCTTGCAACTAGTAATGGGATACAAAGAGTAATTATCAATATTATGATAATAACCTCAGCACAACAGTCCTGCATCTATAGGGTTCTTTTCGCATACCTAGTCATCAACCACACACAGGAAACAGAGACAGATGACTGACATAACTATCAACTCTTTTCTCTAAGTATAAAGTTGGAGAAATTCGATTTCTAGAAGTCAAAGTGTTGTCTGGGACTAGCAACATCAACACAAACATCATTTGGGAACTTGTTAAAAATGCAACTTTTGAGGCCACATCCTTGAACTACTAAATCAGAAACCCTGGGGTTAGAATCAACATCTGTTTTAATGATGACTCCTTACCTAGAGAAACTGATCACCTGGCAAGAGACATGTGACCAAGTGACTCTACGTGTAGATCAAAAATATTCCCAACAAGAACGAAAGGGACTTTT